GCATTCTCATCTCGACAAAATTTAATTTTGTTTTATGCTTCTCTTTTAAAGGACAACATTTTGTGCCACAAAGCATTACAGGTCTCACCACCATCTTATAAAAATAAAATTTTCCAAATTTTCCTTTCAGTCAAAGCGATACTTTTCTATCACACAATAGGTCCGAAGCATTCCTCCGCTTCAACCAATCAACTTAACTTCTACTAATAACCAACTTGACTTCTACTAATAACATCCCCATCTATATCACCATCACATTGAACAATAGAACTGAGATATCTGAAGTGTTCATATCTTTTAATAATTTGATCACCTATAGTTATAACTCTGCCAATAGAGCTACGACTAATAAAATTACATTCCATGTATTCATTTTTAGTTCTATTCAAACGAAGGTCTTTAAACTCCAATGTAGGCCTTCTTAATTCAAGTTTTTCCTGAGCTCTTTCTCTAATCTTACCCATAAGAAGGATTTTGTCAGCGAAAAGCATAAACCAAGGTACATCCTCCTGTAAATGTTCAATAAAACCGATCATAACTAAAGCAAAAAGATATTGGCTTAAAATCGACCCCTTATGTAATCCAACTGAAATAAGAAAACATTTAGTCAATCATCCTTCTGTTCGAAAACAAGTAACAACTCCAGTATATATATCTTTAATGACTTGAATATAAGTCATATCAATATCTTTCTTCTCTAGAACTCTCCAAAGGATATCACTTGGAGCCTTATCGTAAGTTTTTTCTAAATCAATAAAAATCATATTTAGATCCACCTTATTCTCTCTGTATTTCTCCATCAAACCTCTCAATAAATGTATAACTTTCATAGTAGGCCTACCCGACATAAATCCAAATTGATTATGTGAAATTTTAGTAATACGTATTACACTATATTCAATTACCCTCTCCCATAATTTTCCATAATTTTACCTCTCCCATAATTTTAAAGTGTGACACATCAACTTAATTCTTCTATAATTTGCACACTCTTGTGCATTCTCTTTATTCTTAAAATGGGAACCATAGTACTCTTCCTCCAATCCTCATGCATCTTTTTAGTTTTTAATATAATATTAAAGAGTTCAATAAGCTAAGAAATTCTCAAACCTCTTAAATATTTCGTACAGACTTTCCATCTTTAGTCTTCTTTAAAGCCTTCTCAACATCTTTTTTACTAATCTGATAGCAAAAATGAAATATTTTATTGTTATTATTATTAACAATATTAAATTCACTAAAGTCAATCGTATTTTCAGAAGCTTTATTGAAAAATTTAAAGCTTTATTGTTGAAAAATTTATCAAAATAACTCATCCACCTATGTTGAATATCTTTTTCTAAGAAAAACACATTTTGATTTTTATCTTTAATACGTTAAATCTTTAATTTTCTTTTCACTTTGTTTGAGTAGTTTATACATCTATTTTTGGTCCTCTTTAGTATCTAATCTATCATAAAAATCACTAAGAGTAGAATTTTAGCATCCCAGATTATTCTCTTAGACTCCACTATTTTATATTTTTTTCAGTTATCCAAGCTTTCACATTTAAACCAATTTTTATAACATGACTTTTTCATATTTATATTTTCTTACGCTTTATTATTCCATCGCCAACTATTTTAATTTCTAAAAATATTTCCTTTTGATTCTCCAAGTACATCTTTTGTCAATTGTTTAATGGTATTTGTTACTTTATTCATATAGAATTTTCTTTTTCTTGAACATCCCAAATACGAAAATCTTGAAGTTTATTCATAAAAAATAATTGTATTTGTATCTTTTAGATGCCACCAATCTAATTCTATAACAATATGAATTCATAAAGAGTTTAAATTAAGTAAAATCCAAATTTTCATGGATTAACCCTATGTGGTCATTAACCTCAAATAGCTTATAAAATTTTGAGATATTTTTTATATATTTTTTAATTTTTTTAAAGAAGTAGTAAATCTCAAACTAAACTTAATGCTAATTTAAGCCACCCGATAACCTAAACTCAAACTTTATGTTATGGTGGATACCTTAGAGGATTTCATGTTGAGTGAGCCAAAACTTATGGAAGTAATTATGCCGCGTAGTTAAGAGATCAATACCTAATTAAATATTAAACTTAAACTAATCCTAAACCTTAAGTTCAAATTTACATCATCCATTCTCAAAACACATTATAGTATCCCTTATGTTTCCTCTGCTATTTCATAAGATGGTCTAAGTAGGTTTTTAAGTTTTTGATAACTAAAGCTATAACTTTACATAAAAAACCAAGTCTTAAAATAATCTTAGTTCAAAGTTATAACCAAACTAAATTTAACTTAAACTAATCTAAGTTAAACTCAAACTAAAAAAAGTTAAAATCAATCTAAACTCAACTTGAACTACAACTAAATCTACTAAAACTCAAACAAAAAGTGAAAATAATTAAAATTCAAAGTAAACTCAAAACCAAACACTTAATCCAAAACCAAATTTAAAATAATCAAAACCAAACTAATTTCAATAAATTAATCCAAAATCTCTTAAGCCAGGGTGGTTTGCCACACTTCTCCAAGTGGGATGCTTGCCTTTGTAAGAGGATTAGGGAACTATAAATAGTTAGACCCCCTCTCATTTAGGCCTATCATTAAAATTAAGAACAAAACTCAGGCTAAATCAAACTTAAAACTTATCATTCACCCTAAAACATTAATCAATTAACTTAAACCAACTTTTTGTTGAAAATTAAACATCAAAACCAAAAATACAACTTAATCTTAATGACTATATTAGACCTATTGCACCAGCCACACACATTCTAGACTCTTTACCAGTCCATTAATTTAAACTTAGTTAGAAAAATGGCAGTTGATTGCGCATTTATTTTTTGTGGATTGGTTTGTTCTATTGTATTATGTTTTTGTAAGTTTTAGATAGACACTATCGGATTTATTGGGTGTTGGCTGGATATTATGATGATTTTTTAATAGTATAATATTTATTTTTTATATGAGCTCGTGCTTAGTGATGCATTATAGTAATAATTAAAATTAAAGTGACATATTTTCTTTGTGCTAGCTAAAGCGCTTATGGCCCTAAGCATGGCTTACTAGAATAGGGGCTTGGTACCTATTAATGTTGTCCACATGATTTTTATACACATGATGATTATATGTGTGTTTTTCAAACTTGCCTATATTTTGTAGGTATTTCATTAGGCATTTTCATCATCAAATGTATTTTGAATAGAAGTAGGTTAAGGTCTGTGGGAATATATGAGCAAGGATGAACTTCATCAGTCGATAGCGCTAATCCTTGGTTCTATGATTACCGAGTTGTATGAGGGTAGAGCTCTGGCGCCCATTTTTCTTTTCTTCATAGTTTTATAGAAAAGCTCGGTCACATCGACCATTTTTTTATACATATTTTTATTTTTGTGTTTGCTAAATAATTTTTACTTTGCTTGTATTACATATACATCATTTCTTAGGTAACTTTTTATGACACGTGCCAAAAATAATCTGGTTCTCTTTAATCAAACGGTTAGAAATAAAATATCTACCCAAGTTAAATAATCAAAAATAACAATTTTAAGTAACTCAAAATAAAAAAAAATAAAAAATCAAAATCCATAGGATATAATCAATAAGATCAATTAGAAATCATAATAATAAATGAATCATATGCAATGCATATTGATTTTATTCCTTATTTTTGGTGCTTCGCCCATTGCAGATAAAGGAACATCCAACCAACGATGATAGTCACCTTTCTTGGGGAAGCTATCAATTATTCTCAATTGACCTTAAAATTGACTTTTTGTGCATGCATTTATGCACTAGATTACACACTGACTTTTAATATAGAAATTAATTGAGTCTAGCTGATAAAAATCTCAAACTGTAAATTGTGTATTAGTTACAAATGTATCTAGGCTGCTTTATCTTCATAGTCAAGTTGTAAGTTTCAACACATCTTCTCAACATATCCATCCACTCGTGCATGTGTTTGCTCTCATGATTTTGAAGCATAAGTGTGTTAGCAAGTGCCCTCTCCATGTTGGTTTGTAAGCCAAGAATGATCAGGCCAGATTTATACTCAATAGAAGTTTTTTAAAGTCTTATTTTGTCTCCTTAGACTAGCTTTGAGATTTCTTTCTGTATCGATAGAGCTCATTTTAGTCTAGATTCTAAGATGATCGTGTGGACTTTTTGTCATAGGATAAGTCATTGCTCAAGTATTTTCACAATCTCGTATTGTCGGAATATAAATTCTTAATTTTTATAAAATTGAACAACTTAAAATTTAAATCAATCCCAACCTTTAAAACTTAAAACACCACCAACCATAGGGTAGTTGGAACACTAATGAGCCTCTCACTATCTGGTGCTTCCTACCATTCTTCCTTTAAACTTTCATATGAACTGTTCCAGTTCAAGCCAATTTCAATTTGAACTTTCAAATTAAAAATCTCAAAATCAAATTTTGGGATCTGTTGAAGTATTAGTCATCGAGAATTTTCATAGGAGATAATCTATTTTAAGATATAATTAACTCTAGAGGTTTGTTTCTTTAGGAAACTTGAAGCCCGTAATAAAATAAATCATGTCTTGCCCCACCAGTGTTGGGGAAAAGCTTATAGTAAAGTAAACCCTAGGTCTTGAAACCATCATTTTGTGTTTAGATTCATCATTGGGTAGTATTTTCATATTTCACAATGATACATGATTCTATGTCATATTTGATCATAACATAATTAGAAATTTGAAAACTCCCATGTGATCCTAAGGAAAAAATGCTTTTCCATAAGGTGAAGAACATTGGGAATATATATAATGAAACTAAACTGTCTAATCTAGTAGTTAATGAAATAAACACAAAAAACTGATTAATATAGTGTCATATGAAAATTTCATACCAACAGTCATCTTCATAAATCTTCTTGGCCATGATTAGTCATATGAGAAATAAACACAAGATATCGAATTATATATAGTGACATAAATCATATGAAAATCATATACCAGGTATCTTCAAAAGTCATAAGATTAGTCATGAACATAAAAGGCGCCAAAGAAGGTCCATCATGGTTCTTAGCCAAGAGCCTGCTCATTGGTGTTAACCCATATTGCTTCCTTAGGCGGCCTGTTTCGTTGGATGAGGAGGAAGCAGTACAGGTGAGGATAGAATGAGAAGCAAGATATCCTAGAATGTTATCCAGCATGGTTGCAGCTTTCTCATGGTTACATCCGGACAATTTTCCGGCGATCTCGCAGGCAGTCAGCTGGGTGTTGGGACCTGGCTCAGCCAATATCTCGAAGATGCCAAGATCAAATGCTGCTTGCACAGTCCTACTAAAAGTTTGGGAGTAGCAGAGTAGCATGGCAGCAATGAAAGGTTCCTCTTCTTCTCTTTGTGTATCACTCATTTTGTTTTTCTCGATCGACTTCGGAGATGCAGCTTCACTTTTTAAAGATAAAAAATACCATCACTATAGTTTTTAAAGAGTGAAATGCATCTTTTTTATTTAATGTTAAAATTGAAGTTTAGATGTTAGATATGTAAATACGTAGGAATTGAATGGTATGCATGTAAAAGCGCTTTCTAAATAATCTGTCGTTTTGCATGTCGTTTTGCGTTCTTTTTTGGTCCGGCCAGGCAGCGGATATAGCTTTAACAATGGATTAAAATATATAATCATTGCTATCGGAATCGATATGCTTTATTTACAAAGCATATAATGAGAAGAATTGAAATGGTCAATGGATCAGATTAGGTTGTCTTTGTCGTGTAGAGTAAGAAAATTGAAATGGTCAATGGAGATAATTATTTAGAAAAGATTCTGTCATTATCCATTTTTTATATTATTACAGAAACTTAGTTTTAAAAACCGCCCACCAAAACAAATATATATATATATATATATATCTATCTATCTATCTATCTATCTATCTATCTATCTATCTATCTATCTATCTGTATGTGTGTTGAATTCAAAATTATTTGGAAGACGCGCCCAAGGGATGGGGATAATATAGAAAAGTAATTCTGTGCAACTTTCATTCATGAAATAGACCCTTATTTATAGGAATAGAAAATGTAGAATTATATGTTGTTTCCCTAGTATACGCAGATACAATGAGTATTTTAGTCTATACATAAGTAAAGACCAGGGACTCACGGATGTCCGGACGGACTAATCCGGGGGTTCAAAGAGGCGTCTAGTTGGAAGGGGGTCGGGCGGCCAATAGGCCGAGCGGCTATTAGGTCGGGCGGCAATTAGGCTTGGCAACCACTTGCTGTGGACTAGTACCAGCTGCTCTGGATCTTGATAGTTTGCCCCGTTTGCCTGGTCTGACCAGAGTGTAGGACGTTTATCTGTTTGCATGAGTCTAATCAAATAGATTTTTTAGGAGTTGATCTACTCTTATTCGCTGAGAATTATCACTCTCTAGGTACAGAAGAGCAGGCCATCTTAGCATGTGGTCTCTGATTGTCCTTGGTCGGTCCCATGATGCCATGTAACCTCTTCTGATGGCTGTGAGATACTTCGAGATTCGTGACAGTACATTTTTTATGTACATCTTAAAATTCTCTGTTTTTTTTGTTTTTTGATAGTAACAGCTGCAATAAAGACATGAGAATCTAGATTTTTCAAATAAGTAAATGGTATTCATGACTGTTTAATTCACAATAATTAAATACTTTTTGATTTATGTGCCAAGGTTATTATAAATAAATAAAATGAGATGTAAGGACTTATGTTTTAGGCGTTCCTTTGGATTGATCTTTTATATTTTCAGTGGTGTCGAGTATGGATGGTGGATAGCTCCCTCAATCTATTAGTGAGGAGACTTGTGATTTGAATTTCATGCCATAAAGAAGAGAGCCAAATCGATCTTTAAGGTCGAACGACTGAAAAACGTGTTGTGCCTGAGATGAAGACTTCTGAGCCGGTGGTTGAAGTAGGATTGTCATATTCACATAATGGTTGTCCAACAGGGGTTTCTTTGATGATGGAGGGAGATTTTGTCTTGAAGAAGTGTCACATGATGGGAAAATATCATCTGAATGATGATCAGGTGGACCGAATGATCTGTCCCCCAGCTTTTCCCGAGCTGAAGGTAGGGCAGGATCAAGAACCTGCCTTCGAGTTGTTACCTCGTGAGGCATTGGCTGCAAACAATCAAGGAGTTTTTCCCAAAGGTCCCCTGGCGAGTACTTCTCAGTCGGTTTCTCACCCTCCACAGGTGAAGCAGGAGATTGGGGGAGAGGCCTACTCCTTCACCACTTCTGATTTGGATCAAACAGTATGTTTCTCCTCGGGCGAGGGTGTGAAAACTCGGCGTCCTGCTAGTGTCGCGGCGGACTTGCAATCCGCCAAGTGCTCCAGACATTCTAAAAGATCACTTGGGGATGGATGGGTATGCCCGACAGTTGACACAGCGGGAACGACCAATGTGCTTGAACCGTCTGGCTCAGTTAAGCTTAATTTTTATGGGGTCAAGACTATTGACTCAAGAAATCAATTGTCTTAAGCTATGGGATGTGCGACTAGGGTTATTGGAGGAAGAGTTAGTCGCGGTTCGGGCTCGTGAGGTTGCCCTTCAAGAAGATTTGACGTCTCTCAGGGTCGAGTTAATCGCTGCCCGAAAGGATTCAGTCCCTGGATGTGTGTTGAAATGAATAGGGTATAAAACATTAGGGTAGATGGTGAGATGATGTACAAATGATTGTCTCAGTTACGGTATGTTCCAATTGAGGCTGCAATCAATAGTTTTCTAACATTTTTTCTTTCCAGCTAAATAATTGTAAACAAATAAATTTTCTTTTCTGCCGATTAGCTATAATCGAACAAAAAGTGTGTAAATATATTTTATTTTTTAATATATATATATATGTTTGATTTTCATATCATTGGTATGTGTGTTCGATTTGACTCCTTCCCGAATTTTTATGTAGCAAAAATACCCTTGTGCCTTTGCGTCGCTCCGACTTCTATTGCGCACTATAAGTTTGTAAATTAGTAGTTTTTGTGTCATTTATCTCACCTCTATGTGATTTTTGCTTCTTTCTCTCTTGCTCAGGGCTCCCGGAAGTTGTGTCGATCGTATGAGTAAGACATATAGCTGGTTTTATTAAGTCCTTTGTCTTTGGCTCGAACATCCTCCTCCAACCAGCTGCAGAGGGTGAAAAAGTAGCGGACAACTTTGGTAACAGTCTGGTTTTGTACCTCAACCAATTCTGATATGGCCTGAGATTGTTGTTCTGTAGTGAGATGATGTTTATGTTTTACTGCTACAGTGTCATCCCCGCACAGGTGACACCGAATTCGGTTGTGATAGTTATGACCGTTGCTAAATTCCTCTGGTGGGCGGGTTAACATGGTTCATTGAACTTTTTTCCTATTTCTTTGGTTTCAAGGTGGACAAAGATGGCTACACTATTTTCTCTTCCGGTCCAAAACTCCAAGTGAAAGGGGTTTAGAGTGAAATTAAGGATTCAAGGTCGAAGTTTGTAATCACTTCAAGGGAGAAACTTCTAAAAACTTGAATTTCTTACAAACATTCTTTTGTTTACCCGATTAGACTAATATTTCATAACTTTAGGATTGATTAAAAACCATAACTTGCATTTTGAGCTTTTCATGCTTGGACCGATAACAATAGGCTATAACTTTTTCTTTATTGTGAGATTTTCTCATTCCCTGTGGGATCAACAACTGAATTAAAACCCGTTACTATTGATACGTCACGTATACTTGTGTGAGCAGACCGTGCTTTGCAGCACTTGGCGTGTGTCATGGAATATTTTAACTCCGCAAGGCCCAATGATTTTTCCTTTTTTTAGTTTTTTTCACGCAAATTTCATACAACGCTAAGACTATAATTCATTACTCTACCGTTTTTAAATTCTCTCGGATGCACAGGTCACCTTGTGCATGAAAAATTGAACTCATTTTCAAAATGTTATTTAAATAGTTGTATTTTTTATTTGATATGAATGATTTGGGTGATATAAATATAAAATATTAAACTTAGGTATTAGATATGTAATTACATATTGGGCTGAATGTATGTAAATGCCCCCAAAAAAATTAGGCTGGCAAATTTGATTGAGGGCATAACATGACCAGGGTTAAGTCATGAAACCTACTTAAGAAATAAGTCTATATAGTGTTTTCTCAAGTAATTAGAATAATTTTTAATCTGTTAACCTAAACCCACGTAAAAATGATACTTAGCTCAAGCATAAACATGTTTTAGAATTTGTTATAAAATTAATTTAGTTAATAATGTATACATGCAAAGTAAAAATTATGTCTAATAGGCTAACAAATTAGTCTAAGTAGATATCTTTATAAGTAATTAATAAATTATTTTCATAATCAATTAATTAATACATTCAAAATAATATCTATTTAATAAATAATTAATTTATAGTAATTTCTGCTGAATTTTAAGCCCTCGTCTACGATAAAAAAATCAGGTTTGACCCCGTTAAAAAATCATTAGTTACTTCATTTATACCACCCAAATCTTTTATATCATATAAAAAATATCATCATTTTAACATTTGAGAAGTCACGGACACCTTTCATACATATGTATAGCGGTATGTATGCAAAATTTGAAATTCAAATGTTAGGTATGTAAATATACAAGTATTGAGTGGTATATCTGTAAATTTTTCATAAAATTTTGCGTTGTGCAAATGATAAAATTTGTATAATTTTGTTGTATATCATTTATTTTAAGCTATAAATATGATAAATTTTACAATGCTACGCAATGTAATAAATTCTCCATGTTGTGTACTTGCATGAAGCGGTGGCTAGGCGGCATTGGGTTGAAGTGTTTAAGTGTTCTTATTGAGACATGTAATATAGATTTCTTAGAAGAATGAAGATGGACAATTCTTAATATTGCTAAGAGTGAAGTAGTGAGAGACTAAAAGATTCAATATGATTAGAAGAAGATATTATTAAAGAAAACTTGTGTGGTCAACTTGAATAACATATTGTGGCTTAGGAGGAGAATACATGAGAAGAATAAGTAGTTGGTTAAACTATGTTGAAGAGTTAGGGATAAAAGTAGTACCACACACCCTATTTGTATGTGGTATTGCTCTAACATAATTTTTTGTATTTAGGTTGGGGGAAAAATTATTTCATGCGGACGGGTGTCCGATCCTGACCTTAAATCAGGTGATCGACGGTCAGGATGTATTTCGGTGGGCCCCGCCTAAATTTTTTTTATTATTATTTTGAACTGAAATATATCCTGACCGTAGACTAGCCAGGAAGCACCGGCCGAGCTCGGACGCCGCATGCAGAGATGCATGCGGTGTCCGTATGCAATTATTTTTCTAGGTTGGGGAGGGGAATGATGTGATTTAAAAGGATGAGAATGAGAGAAAAGTATTATCAGTAATAGTATTGTATGATGATATTACATACAGAGGATTTCTTATGGTAAAAGAGTTTCTATTTGAGTTTATAATCAGAAATATTAAGAGAAACAAGCTTCATAAGTGGGATAATGGTGTATAAAGCTATGATGTTATTAGTCACAAGTAAAATTCATTTCTTACTAAATTCGGTATCTTGTCCTCATTCAAATAACCTTGAAGAAAATTAGAGTCTTTAATCAAACTAAAATTCACTTGACGAGCGTATTGGGCAGATTGGCGCTATAGCGCCAGTAACAACCTTTCTAGAAGATACATTGAATTTTGCCAAATTTTAAAGAGGTGCTTGAAGCAACCCTTGATTATTTTCAAAGATCTATTAATAGGACCGAAAATTGGACGAAGAAGAGGACTTATCGGCATCATTAGAAGGCTTTATGAAGTTTTACTTTTGTGTTTAAGTGTGATTGTAAGTGTGTTTTGAGTTTGTAAGAGTCAGAGTTTGGAGATATGGTGAAGGAGAATCCAAAATTTGTGTGGGAGAGAAGACATAAGATACTTTGTATTTGTGTTTAAGTTTTATTTCCAAAACTTTGATTTCAATACAAATCATGTTTTTTTTGTTTAATCTCCATGAATTTTGAGTAGTTCTCTTTCTTTCTCATTGCATAAAAGAATTAATCTTGTGCGATGAGAATGATTTAAAGATTTATTTTTACTTTAAAAATTGTAATGACATTTTCACCGATTCTTCATTGACTTTATAAATTGACCACTTGTGAGGTTAAAATAAGTTGAGAAACATAATGACCCGGAAAGGCTATGATTTCACCAAACTAGTGAATGTCACACTTCATTCTGGGCAGAGTCATTGCGATCACCTAAGGGGGAGTGCAAATAGATAGTGAGATATATTTTATGGGCAGGAGTGCAAATAGATAGTGAGATATATTTTAATGGGCATAGAATTGATGTTTCTAGGGTGACAGACTTGATTCTTTTATCAATTTGGTTTAGAGTTTGGATCGTAAGGATCCCTAATAGATCGTATAGAGTGCACAATTGATAATCTGGAAGTGAGAGGCCAGAATCTGCTCAACATTACTATACAAGCTGGTGAAAAACTCTGAATTAGTGAATATTCTTTGCTAGCACCGGAAGAGAGCAAATAATATAAATGCTCCTATTTGTCACAATACATAATCTTATTTTTAGTCATTTATATCCCATATAGATTAATATCTCTTTGCAGGGGAAAATATATTTTCATAATATACAAACTCATTAGATTTATTTTATTAAACTGTTAAACTTAGTTGTTACTTTTTGCTTAAATTTAAAAGAACCTTTGCAATCATATCGGCATTATTCTACTTTTTTAATCTGCAATTTAGGTAGAAATTTTGCAAATCTATTTAAAGAGTTACAGCTTTCCTTGTGGGATCGATACTAGGATTTTTAAGAAAAATCTTATATTACTTGAAGCGATATGTATACTTGTGTAGTACCGATAGCGTGAAAATTTTTTATATATTTTCTAAAGCATTATATTAATTCAGACTAGTCGCTAAATATAAATTGGGACAAGTTTTTGGCATTATTTTCGAAATTAAAAATACACATAATTGCGGGTTAAGTCAACATCACTATTATAACTTTTGCAACCACGAATCCTAGATAAGTTAAACCACTGATTGCTTGTTGGTGATAATTATTTCAATTAGAAATTCAAGCCATGAATTAAACATATCAAAATCTTATTTTTAAAAACAACCTCTTAGTTTTGATTGGGAATCAAGTCCTTGCTATTATTATAAGAAATGATGTTACTGGAACCTTTACTTATTAACCAAGGAAGCCCATTCATTCATTTAGTAAATTTCTAAAATCAATTAGGACTTAAAAACATACATGTATTATTTTCCTCTGAAAAAAATAAAATGGAAGCAATGCATCCAATTTTATTTTTATTATTAAGAGTTCAACTTGAGATATGCTTCTGTCATGCATATGTCATTTTAAGAACTCCATTATATGATAATTGAAAATCTTGCATAAAATTTTGAATCCTGAAAAACCTGCTTCATGAGCTAATGACTGATACTCTCTCTCAGTCCGCACTTTTGCTTCAAAAAACATTGTCATTATCATATTCATGGTGTAAATTTGCTGTGTAGAAATATTTGTTTCTGGAAACTCAGGAAGAATGTGCTCCATAAGGATTACTTTTCCAGAAGTTGGCAATGCCTTCCAACAATTTTTTAAAATTAGTAGACATTTCTCATCATTCCAATTATGAAGAATCCACTGCAAAATAACATTTATGTTAGAAACTTAGTATTGAAAGTTCACAAGTTTTTACTATATATGTTAGAAAATTCATGTTGTAAGAAGAGAATATAATCATAATAAAACTTTGAAGTCATATATTCTTTGTAAATAACAAGAAAAACTCATTATAATTTTGATTTTAAGAATATGAACAACATGAAAATTTGGAGCCATGCATCTATCATCAACATTATAAATAATAAATCATGTTACAATATAAAATCAAAATTTTATATTTTTTTTCATATGAAACTTTTGTTGTATATGAAAAATCACTTCCCATACCAATTTTATTTTTTAAGAATTTATCTTAATATAATCAAACAAGTTTGGTTACCTTTAAGAAAATGGCTTCTCCGCTTGGTATCATGATAAACATGTCCCCGCCAACATGTTGGACACCTAAGAAAAGCATTTATAAATCGACTAATGAGTATTTTAACTCAATATAAATCTAAGAGTAAAAATTTAAAGGATAATAAATTTTTTGGATAAGAAATATAATTAAATCACTTTAATATTATCTATAATATAACTAAATCTAAAGCTAAATTCAAAAAAAAAAAAAATCTTGATTTCTTTGTTCCATTAACTCATTTCTAAATTGCTTTTTAAGGTTTTATACAAACTTACATATAATTCAAAGCATATTAGTTGAAATTTGACAACTAGAAAATTATTTTTTTCATTTTAAGCCCAAATTTAAAGTTACTATCTACTAATTTAAAACCTTTATTATAAGATATCATATATGAGATCTCTTAATTTGTTAGAAAAGATCAATGTCTTACTTTGTTAATTAATTAGCAAACCTTTAGTTATTAGTTGGTCTGTCTTTGAGATCCATATTACGTGTTTCATGTACCTGGAAGCGATGGTGCCTGTGAAACAACATGTGGCAGATCAAAATTGATCCCTTTAATGTGTGGATACTTAGAAATGATGTTTTTCAATGAGGTTCCAATACCACCACCAACATCAACAAGCTCCGTTACTTGCTTTAGCCCTTCATACTTCTCAAGCATCTTCTGAGTCACTATATTGCTATTGCTGGCCATGCCTTCATTAAAAACCTTAGAATAGGTAGGATTCTTATCCATGTACTCGTACATTGTGAAACCATAAGCTTTTTTGAAGGGATTTACCCCCTCTTGTAATGCTTCCTTTAATTGATTCCTGTCAAAACATCAATGGAAGCACAACATGAGTGGACTTTACCTTTGTCATAGGTTTTCCCCCAGTATACATGAATATTGAAAATGGTCTAAAGATGACATGGAAATTTTATAAGAACTCCTCTCTAAAGAAAAATTCATTAATCTTAGAACTAAATTGAATTTTTAATGAACTAAAGTAGTAAAAATAGTTAAACATCCTCACAAATTTTAAATTAAATCATAATTATTTATTTGATCACTCAAGTTTAGAAAATAGTTCTATGAAATTTAGAATTCATTGAATTTTTTAAAGCTAATAGTGTAAATAATATTAGCAAAAACCATTAATTAAAATGTATTTATAAAATCAAGTTAAATTTTAAAAATTCATTTGAATTAATATTCACAAAGAAAAGTTTTAAAATTTAAAACACTTGTTATAAAATAAAAATAAAAAAAAATATTTCAACAATTAAAAATTGTTTTCTAAATTTTTAATATTTGGTAAATCAATTGAATCTTAATTAAATCATCATATCACCAATTGAATTCAAAATGATAAAAAATTTTATAGAGCTTGGGACACAATTCCAAATTTTCGTGTAGTTTTTTTTATAAATTTTTAAGTTTAATTTAAATTTCAAATATTTATTTTTAATTAACATAATTTTCAATTTATACACAACAACAACAAGCGTTTTTCCCACTAAGTGGGGCCGGCTACATGAATCCTTTTTTCTCCATTGCATCCTAGTAAATGTCATATTTTCATTTAATTCTAAAAAGTTAAGATCATTTTTATACAATATGCCCAAGTCTTTCTAGGTCAGCTTCTGCCTTTCTTAAAATAAGTTGAATTTAAAACATCTACTCTACTAACCGGATCATTAGGCGGTCGACATTTAATGTGACCAAGCCATCACGATTCTCTCTAATCTTATATGCCGCAACCCTATCACGAATATATTCATTTCGCTTTTTGTCCACCAAAGCTTTCTCATCCCGACAACATTTAAGTTAGTTTTATGCTTCTCTTTTAAAGGCCAACATTTTGCGCCTTAGAGCAGTGTAGATCTCACCACCATCTTAGAAAATTTTCCTTTCAATCAAAGCAATACTTTTCTATCACACAATAGGCCTGAAGCATTCCGGCCTGAAGCATTCCTTCCTGAAGCATTCCTTCACTTCAACCAACCAACTCGAATTCTACTAATAACATTCCCATCTATATGACCATCATATTGAACAATAGACCCGAGATATCTAAAGCATTCACATCTTTTAATGATTTCACAATCTCGTATTGTCGGAATATAAATGCTAAATTTTTAATAAATTTGAACAACTTAAAATTTAAAATCAATCCCAACCTTTAAAACTTAAAACACAACCAACTATAGGATAGTTGGAGCACTAATGAGCCTCTCACTATCTGGCGCTTCCTACCTTCTACCTTTAAACTTTCATAAGAACTGTTCCAGTTCAAGGAAATTTCAATTTGAACTTTCAAATTAACAATCTTGAAATCAAATTTTGTAATCTGCTGAAGAATATGAGTCATTATTTTAATAAAAAATTTTCAAACGAGATAATTTTTTTTAAGAAATAATCAACTCTAGAGGTCTGCCTCTTTAGGGAACTTGAAGCCCATAATACAATAAATCATGTCTTGCCCCACTAGGGTTGGGGAAGAGCTTCTAGCAAAGTAAACCCTAGGTCTTGAAACCATCATTTTGTGTTTATATTCATCATTGGGTCTTATTTTCATATTTAATAATAATATATCATTCTTGATGTCATATTTGATCATAAAATAATTAGAAATTTTTAAAAGTCCAATGCAGTCCATACACTTCATCTCCAATGAAATGTAATTCCCTCCATGCACGAACAAGTAGATGCATCAATTAGTGTACATGAATTTGATAGCTCTTAGAAGAAAATCAACTATCATCTTGAGGATTCTCGGCAACAAAAAATTCTAATTTACTTTTATGTAACCCCAACATGAATGCCATGTTGCCCGAAGATTTGGCACTAAACCTCATCATATAATCTCAAGTTATCTCTTCTTTTATGCTCGATTAGGGCCACTTCTATGTTGATAACTCAACAAGTAGACATGCAGACATATTTGTTAGTATATTTAACCTCATCATACATTCTAGACATATCAAATGGTTGCTAGATCCTAAATATCTGGCATATGATACGTTAAATACTCATATAAAAGGAAAAAATGAATATATATATATATATATATATATATATATAACGAAAATAAAACAGTTTAATCTACTATTTATTGAAATAAACACGAAATATTGATTAATATATAGTGTCATATGATAATTATATACCAGCAGGCATCTTCATAAACCTTCTTATGTGACATGAACATAAAAGGAGCCAAAGAAAGCCCATCATGGTTCTTAGCCAAGAGCCTGCTCGTTGGTGTTAGCCCATATTGCTTCCTTGGGCTGCCTGTTTCGTCGGATGAGGAAGCAGTACAGGTGAGGATAGAATGAGAGGCAAGATAGCCTAGAATGTTATCCAGCATGGCTGCAGCTTTCTCATGGTTACATCCGGACAAGTTTCCGGCGATCTCGCGGGCAGTCAGCTGGGTCTTGGGACCTGGCTCAGCCAATACCTCAAAGATGCCAAGATCAAATGCTGCTTGCACAGCCCTACTAAAAGTTTTGGAGTAGCAGAGTAGCATGGCAGCAATGAAAGGTTCCTCATCTTCTCTTTGTGTATCACTCATTTTGTTTTTTTTTTTTTTTTTTTTGATGGACTTCGGAGATGCAATGGAAAGATGAGCTTTTTATAAGACGACCGTTGAAATTAGCATCTTTTTTTAAGGGAGATTTACATACGTCCCACCCAATTCCTATGTATTAATATATCAATCATATAAACTTCCCCCCAATGCTTAAAACATAGGAATCAGGTGATCTGTGGGTAAAAATTAAAATTTTTATGGTTAATATGCTAATACATGTGAATTTGGTGGTATCTATGTAAGAAAATCGAGGGCATTTACATGCATACCACATAGTTCTTTTGTATTTATATGTCTAACAACTAATGTTTGCTTTTTTACATTAATGCCGCTCGAATTGGTCAAATCTTTCATATCCCATCAAAAATATTACCTCTATAATTTGAAAAAAAGTGGTTTATTTGTAAAATTGAAGTTTGGATGTTAGAAATGTAAATACATAGGAATTGGATGGTATGTATGTAAATCTTATATTAAAAAAAATAGGTTAAAAAAACTGATTGCCAGTTACGACAGTCCCGTCGATGATTAAGGAGTTTAAAAGCTAGTTCTAAACAATTTGTCTTATTTGCATTTCGGTTTCCGTTCTTTGATTGTCTCGCCGGCAGCGAATATAGTTTTAGCGATACATTAAAATACATGAGAATAGCTATCGGGATCGATATAATTATTATTCATAAAACGTATGCTAACAAGAATCAATCGATCGTGTTGATTTTTTTGTATTTTGGAATCCTAATTTGTCTTCTGGAATACACTTCCCCTGAGTTAGAGCCGAGCGGAGATAAGAAAGTAAAGAGTTACAGAAAAGAGAGTGAATAGTTATAATAATTGCCCAAATAAGTGAATCGATGTGTTTGTAGATTGAAATTTGCATTATAATCGATCGCCGGACGCTTCAATTTCGACTGGCTATGTCGACCGATCATATACATCGGATCGCTTATATCGGGCGGTCGAATAGTTCGATCAAAGTTATTTGGTTACTCGGTAGAGGTCATTTGGTCGATGGTCAGTCGGTCGATTTTGTTGTGTGTCGATCGATCACTTGTCCAACACTTCTTGTTCTTCGATACGAGACTTCAGTCGCCTGAAACTTCATTGTAGCCGTTTGATCCTTTGAAATTCGTGTTGGCATTTTTACTATATATATATATATATGTCTTACTATACTATATATATAACAGTCCTGTATCACTCAGAAAAGATGTCTTTTATGTGTTGCATCAAAAATGAATGCCAACCCTAGTTAACACTAGAAAATAATAGGAATGGTGTATACACTCATTTAGATAGGAAAGGAGGCAACAGAAAGGGAACTCTGATCGAAATTTCCTTGAGGGTGGAAGAACATCTTTATTTTAATGGCTCGAGATGATTTATCCCCTAGCTGAGTCACACAAAAAAAATATTAAATGATTTTAATATAATATAATACCTACCAATGCAACCTAACGATGTCAGACCATGATGCAACACGAAAAATTATTCGATGCGGATCGGCGTCCGCACGCAGTGCGTACGGACGCCGATCCGGACCGTAAATCACATGATTTACGGTCCTGATGTATTTCGGTGGGCCCCACCTAAAATTTTTTATTTTTTTTTTTAAAAAACGGAAATAATCCTGACCGTAGATCACCGTGATCTACGGCCAGGATCGAACACCGCATGCAGAGATGCATGCGGTGTCCGCACGCAATAATCCCCCGATGCAACACATAGAAGTAGCCATATGTCTTATCCTTATCATTAACTCATATAGGACAATTGATACCCATAAAGGGGTACTCGACAGGTGAACGTCCTAACAGGCTAACAAGCTAAACCTGACCGATCAACCTAACAGCTGGCACATGGCAATTGGTGCAGTAGATCAACCCAATAATTTGTACACAACAATTATGTTTACAGACGCATCGTGCTTGCTAATATCTTATCTAGCCCATTACTGTCATTAATTTGTATACAATATAGTACTTTAATAGAAAAAAAAAAGTGTTTCCTTAAGACATAAAATGTTGATGATAGAAATAAAAACAAAATATGGAATTATATAGAACACCTTTAGTGGGGGGTCTTAAACCACTGCCAAAGTGCTTTATGGAGGAGAGCAAATAGAGCCTCCCTTCTACTACCATTTTGTTTTTCCTACCTTGGAGATTGAATAGAAAGAAAAGGCTACACATATAAGAATAGTGTTGAAATTAATTTATTTGATTCGAATAGCTGTTAATCTGCATGTATAGACCATATTATGACCCGAAACCCTATGTATATTGAGCTTGAGTGATTGCTAATTATATTGCATTCATATTATTCATAGTAAGACTGAATAAAAAATTAACTATTAATATGGATGATCATATTAAGTCATAAATAGGAGAAATTATTAGGTGCGGACACCCGTTGGTGAGGACGATGGTGTGGATTCGATCACGCCACTATGAATTCAACCACGCCACTGTGAATATTCGAACACTGCAGAAGAAGCTCGTATTAACATATGGTATTTGTGTCGGTTTTTTTTTTTTTGTTAGGCGGCGAATAATAAATTTTAATATTTGCATTGCGTCCACTGTGCATCGAAAATTTTGTTGGCATTGCGACGGATTTTATGTCAAATTCACATCCAAAAAATCGACGCAAACCTTTACTAATCAACGTTGAACTATTTTCAACTCAAAATTAGATGAAAATCTGACGCAAAATGACCTAATAGACTCAACCAGTGCGCCTAAATTTCATTTTTCCTTTCACCCATCCCACACGCGCCTTTCTGGTCTCCTCTTCTTTCCGAAGCCCTCCCGAGCTTCCCCTTTCCCTCCCCACTTCCCTTCTCCTTTTCAATTTCACTCAAAATCGTCTCCTTCCCGAACGAAGCTTCGTGATACAATTGCCATTAGAGCTAGCTGTGAAGATAACGATGTACCGCACTTCCAGCTTGCAGAGACGACTGAAATCCTTCAAATCAGAAAGCATTTAAGAATGCGACTCTATTTATGCCACTATTTTCATTTATTTGTAGTATGCATGTAAATATTGATGTTTAGGTGTCAGGTTTATATATACATAAGAATTGAATGATATTTAGAAGTAAAATGCATAGGTAATCTGTTATGTATGTATAAATAGAAGTTTTGGTATTAGGTATTTATATACATAAGAATTCAGTGGAATGCATGTAAACATTGAAGTTTAGGTGTTAGGTTTGTAAACACATAAGAACTGAGTGATATGTATGCATAAATTGAAGTTTTGGTGTTACGTAAGTATATACATAAGAGTTCAGTGGTATGTTTGTAAATAGTGATGTTTAGGTGTTAGATATGTATTTACATAATATTTGAGTGATATGTATTAACTAAATGCATAGGTAAAGTGGTATGTATGTATAAATTGAAGTTTTGGTGTTAGGTATGCATGTAGATAAGAATTCAATGGTATTTATGTAAAAATTGAAGTTTAGGTGTTAGTTGTGTACATACATTTGAGTGACATATATGAAATTCATATATAGGTAATGTGGTATGATTGTAGAAATTGAAGTTTTGGTGTTAGATATGTATATACATTAGAGTTCAGTGGTATGTATGTAAAAGTTGATGGTGATATACGAATATTGTTATTAGTAGAATTAGTCGGTTGAAGGAGGGAATGCATGCATCAATTTGGTCTATTGTTCGAAGTGATGGGGATATTGATGGGATGTTATTAGTAGAATTCAAGTTGGTTGGTTGAACTAGAGGAGTGCATCTGGTATTGTTCACAGTGATGATAATATAGATGAGAATGTTATTAGTAGAATTCACATTTGTTGGTTAAAATGGAGGGATGCATCGGGTTTATTGTTTACAAAATAAACCACTTCAAAGAAGTGTCATATATATGATTAACCAATGAGTTACTTCACCAGATAAAGCGAGCTAGTTAAAAGAGGTTTCTATGGTCATTTTCTTCAATTAGAATTAGCTCACACGAACCACTAAGCATAATCATCTATTGTACGTATTGTACAAATTGATAAGTAAGGACAAATTAATGTTTATTTTTGTAGTAGTTTCACTTATCTGCAAAACTACATCTATGATGTAGATGGATATTTGTAAATTGAGAGCTTGGATGTATACTAGATTATATCCATGATGAAAATGACTCACATATGAGTTTTTAAATGGCATCGAGGAATTCGTGCATATGGCATCACAACTATCAATCTATCATTCTGATGGTAAGTTTTAGTGTCCTTGTGTGAAGAACAAAAATCAAGCACTTCTGCCACCCAAAGAAGTTTAGTTGGATTTTAACCGCAAGAGATTCAAACCAAATTATTAGTATTGGATTGGGTACGATGAGCATGAACCTGAAATTTAGTTCAATCAAGGAGGTGCCTCGACAAGTTATGCCCCTCTGCAGAAGAATTTGATCCTAGCACATGTGAAGAAATGGTTCATTATACTCAAAGAGCTCAATTTGTTGGGAGCATCTAACACTAACCTAAAACACCAAACAATGAATTATAACAATTCTATGACTTACTGAACGCTGCACAAAAACCTTTTTGGGATGGATGCACTGCAAATACAGAGTTATCGGTGGTGCTAAGAATGTTGATCATCAAATCTGATTTTAATATGCCCAGACTTTATTGAAAGAGACTAACTCTGCAGAAAATTTAGTGTTAGATGACTTAAATAAAACGAAAAGGTTGGTTTCAAAGTTAGGGTTACAATATGGGAAGATCGGTTGTTGTGTTAATGGGTACAAGTTATTTTACAAGGTCGATGCAATCGAGGCGAATTAGCAATTTTGTGGTATGGATATATTCAAACAAAAGGGGAAAAAGAATAAAAATCTTAAAAATACTCAATACAAGCGTCTCTTTTATTTTTCGCTCATACTTTGGCTTCAGAGATTGTTCACTTCCATGAGTGCAGTCTCTTACATGACTTGGCACACTACTAGATCTGTTGAGCTAACTCGATGAGTCATTCATCACT